GCCCTCTCCAAGGTATCTATGGATAAAATACCCCTGAGTCAAGCAGATTATTGTGCATTGAAGAACTATAAGCGACTTTGCCAAAAGAGGCGTGTGTGCACAGTGACAGCATAACAATAAGAGAAAGAGCGTAACGTACCTGTAGGTTTTACCTTTTATTTATAGAGTTTACCTGTGAGTAATGGATTCTAGATCTCCAGTGCTTCTGATGACGACCCAAGCCTATATGTCATGCTATTGTATTAAGATTGATATCTTTGATGGATATCCTTCTATAATTATATTTGATTAATATCTTGGATTCTTCCTTGTTGGGTTTACCAATTAATGAGCTTCATATATGAGTCCATAACACTAAGCACTTAATATTATTTGGATAAAAAAATAATGAATAATATTTAAATAAAAACAAAAAAAATAATAAGTTGCGGGAAAGAAGTAGAAGGAAGTCTGTGAGAGTGAAAATTGAGTATTGGATGTGTTTTAAGATAACTTATGTAAGATAATCAGCTATTATTATAGTATAAAAAAAGAAGAAGCAAAATACGGGCACAAAATAAAAGCAAAAATTATATCTTCCATAGAATTAATAATGTCTAAAATATTAGTTTAAAACTTGTATTAAATATGTAGATGTCATATTTTGAAATTTAATTCTCTGAAAATAATTCCACAAGTCTTTGAACAATTTATACCTTTAAACATTGCAAATCTACAATAACTTAAGATAAATAAAAAAAATGTAAGAATTAAATGTAAATAACGTTAATTGAAAATTAAAAAAATAAATTTTAATGTATATGATTTGATGCACTGTACAATTTGAATATATGCATTAGTATTTTATCAAAATATTTATGTAATTTTTTTAAATTCCTTTAACTTGATTTCACTGAATGTTTTTAGAATTTTAAATTATTAATTAGAATGATGACTTTTATTATATTTTTTGAATAAGGTTATACTTACAATCTTTTTTTTTACAACCTCTTATAATCATATTTTAACACTGTTGATTTCCGCCAATCAACGGTTATGATTTTCGTAAATTAAACTCATTAATTAATTATTAATTCACAATAAATGATAATTGTTGATTGACGAAATGGTTGTAAAAAAAAAAAACTTGTAAGTATAACATTTCTCATATTTTTTAATGTAATTTTAGGTCTGAAATTAATTAGTTGTTTGGGAAGTGATGAGGGAGCACATTTTCTCTGCAATGTGAGTAAGTATTCCCTTATCGAAAAAGGGGGGAAAAGGGGGAAAAAAATACTGGAGAAAATAATCATAAAATTATTGGTAGTGTTAATGGGTTACTTTTTGCTATAGTTTTTAAATACCAACATTATAACTTTCTAAGAGTTATAAAACAACAAGTTTTGCCAAATTATGATTTGCTCTACCTTATTACTGCACCTAATCTTGGATATTTCTTCCTGATGTGATGGGAATGGATCCTAATATCTCATTTAAAATATAAGGTCATGTAAGTGAAGTTTAATTGTTTGTAGATAATTAACGGTTATTATTTTTCATAAACGTAAAGCGTAAAGCACACCGGACATTTTACTTTTTACCGTTTAAAATTTTCTTGACTCATTAAAAAAGAAAAAAAAATAATAACAGCTCTAATGGAATGTCTCGATCCAAAAAATAAAAATGCTTCTCTAAATGAAGAGTTATTCTATTCTTGAGATCAAATCACCCGAACTTAAATTGCTAAATTCAAGTCTCGAATTTTAATTTGAAAATTACTCTCTCTCTCTTGTCAACCCCGACAATAATTACAAAAAATGCTTCCGACAAAGCCAAAAAATAAAAAAATAAAAATTTTCAGAGTACACCTTCTAATCAAATAAATAAATACAATTCGAACTTGTGTGTAGACTACATAAATCTTGTCATGCTTGATTTCGAAAATAGTCTTTAATAATGAAATTTACGATACTATCTTCACGATTCCATGTCCAACAAAATCACCAGCAAGAAAAAAAAAATCATCAGGGAAGGACATGTAAGAATAACGAAATGTGCAGAGAGCAGTGCAAAGGGGAAAGAAAAGGCAAAAAAGGTGATACAAGAGTTTAACACTAAAATAGTGAGTCAAAGATATAGTACAAAGAAAATGCCACTCCATCAGAGATTTCAACATCATGCCTCAGACATGCTCAGAAAAAGACGGGGAGATCTCAACAGAGAACAAGTAGATGAAATAGAGATGAAAGATAAAACACTGAGAAGAAAAAGCACTCACATAAAAGTTTGAAAAAGGGGAATGAATACAGAATACACAGAAAATGGAATAGAGGAGGTGTTGTAGAGTAGAGTAAAAAGCATAGCACCATAGAAGGATCTTTGGTGCTCTAACTTATCTCCATCACATTAAAAGTGTAAGATTTCAAACTCAAATTTAAAAAAATGAGTATGTGTTTAGATACAACTAGTTGAAAAAATTTTAATTTCTTGATTGGTGTTTTCATAAAACTACAATTTTTTGCCACTAAGCAAACAGAGCGAGAGGGTGAAACACAAGTAGCAACATCCATGAGTAAGCACCCTCACCCCACTCCAATCCTTTTCTTCAAGATTATTCCTGGAACAAGTCTTGCAGATGGAAAGCTGGTAAACATTCTTTACTTCATCTCCTTTCTTTCTCCGTGTAAGCTTGCAGAGAATGATAATCCAATCACTAGAAACATACCATCCGATTCTTTCTTTACAGATGCAAACTTAGACTTCTCAAAGTTTGTGCCTTCAGTTTGGACATGATGTGGCAGGTTTTGCTCGGTGGATCTTCTCTTAACACCTCGACTAGCGCCAGTTCTCAATTTCTTACATGGTTGAGGAGAAGACATTGGTGATTTCATTCTAGTCTTATGGCATGGTGGTAACTCATCCGAAATTTTAACTGAGTCATTATCACTAATCTGGTCAAGGTTGTCCTGTGCATCTTGAGATCCATGGAAAGGATAATCTATTTCAAGGGTACTCTTGTCAAATATGTGTACCTCAAAATCACAAGTTTGACCAGATTAATGATGATGACTCAGTTAAAATTTCCATGGAAAGGATACATGCAAACTTGTTCTCTGTGAGTGCTTTTTCTTCTCAGTGTTTTATCTTTCATCTCATTTTTATCAAAACATGGAAAGGCAAAAAATTGTAGTTTTATCAAAACACTAATCAAGAAATTCAAATTTTCAACTAGTTGTATCTAAACACATACTCATTTTTATAAATTTGAGTTTGAAATATTACACTTTTACAGTGATGGAGATAAGTTAGAGCACCAAAGATCCTTCTACGTTGCTATGCCTTTTACTCTACACTACACCTTCCTCTGTATTCCTTTTCCTGAGTATTCTGTATTCATTCCCCTTTTTCAAACTTTTCTGTGAGTGTTTTATCTTTCTGGTCAATGGTAGAACTTAGAAGTTAGAACTTAAATTACCTTTTCTCTGTCCTGGTAATACTTTGCTCTTCAAATCAAGCTCTCACAACTCTCTCTTTTATTTCAAAAATAAATAAATTTGGTGTGTATATTTTCTTGTTCTCTGTTGAGAACTCCCCGTCCTTTTTCTGAGCATGGGTGAGGCATACTGTTGAGATGTCTGATGGAGTGGCATTTTCTTTGTACTATAACTTTGGCTCACCTTTTTTGTCTTTTCTTTTCCCTTTGCACTGCTCTCTGCACATTTCGGTATTCTTACATGTCCTTCCCTGGTGATTTTTTTTCTTGCTGGTGATTTTGCTGGACATGGAATCGTGAAGATAGTATCGTAAATTTCATTATTCAAGACTATTTTGGAAATCAAGCTTGACAAGATTTATGTAGTCTACTACAGTCTACACACAAGTTCGAATTGTATTTATTTATTTGATTAGAAGGTGTACACTGAAATTTTTATTTATTTATTTATTTTATATTTTGGCTTTGTCGAAAGCATTTTTTGTAATTATTGTCGGGGTTGACAAGAGAGAGAGAGTAATTTTCAAATTAAAATTCGAGACTTGAATTTAGCAATTTTTTTTTTTTGGTAATCTGAAGGGAAAAAAAACCCCAACAGGAGCAATACTAATCAGGCTAAATACACCGAGTTTCACCGAAACCACCTAAATCAGCTAAATACAAAAAGCAAATCCCAGAGGGGGGAGATGGGAAAATACTAAAATCCTCTACATCCGGATTTAATAAAGGAAAATTAGACAACCAATCCGCATAGCAGTTTCCTTCACTATACGTGTGCTTGATAACCACAGACCACTCTTTATTCATCTAAGCCCGTATACGAGTAACAATATGAGACTCACAGGCTGACTTACTCCTACGAGTAAGTCACAGGACCGCTGTTGAAGAGTCACTTTCAATTACTAATTTCCTACAACCATTATCCCAAGCCAGTTGTACTCCTTTTAAGATACCCCATAATTCTGCCATAATAGCAGTACAATGGCCGATTCTATAGGAAAAACCAGAAAGCCAAAGACCAGTACTATCTCTAAAAATCCCTCCACACGCAGCCGGTCTTGGGTTACCTTTGGCAGCTCCATCAGTATTTAACTTCACTCATCCTTCGTCCGGAAACTTCCAGGCGATGGGGATTTCCTCCTTTCTAGAGTAAGAAACAATATACTTCTTTTTCTGGACACATTCCAGATTTCCATCGTTCGGGAATCAACCAATTGCTTATTATAGGCATAAGGAAGGCACTGATTACCATGATACTTATCATTTCTCCACCTCCAAACTAGCCAAATGGTAACTGCAAAAATGATATTCCAAGGAAGACCACTAACATCTACCAAAGTAACTTGAAGATTGGATAACAACCAAGAATTTATATCCAAACTAAAGAAATTCGGACAATACCTGTTAGCACCCAACTAGATCCATAGACCACTAACACAGAAACAGTCTCTTAGAGCATGAATGGCTGACTCATCCTCCACACGACAGATACAGCAAAGAGCCTCCCCCATATGAAGATAAAGAGGATATGCAAGGTGTGCTACCAGGACATGAAGATGGTCTAGTAATTACAGGAACTCTAGTTAATTGCCGGATGAAAAAGATCTTCATAGATGCCAGTAGTTGTGCAGATATCATCCTTTGGAATGCTTTCAAAAGAATGAACTTGGATGCAGAATATCTCAAGCCTTGTAAGACTACCCCGATAGCCTTTAATGGAGAAAATACACCCCCTAAAGGCTACATAGATCTCAGGTTGACTTTGGGAATGAAAGAAGCATTCAAATTAGAACGAGTAACGTTCATTGTAACTGACTTTCCCTCTCCATATAATGTGATCCTAGGAAGACCAACCCTGTATAAGTGGGACATGCTGGTCTCCACAAAACATCATAAGTTGAAGATGGTAAGCAATAAGAATGAAGCCATCACCATTCAGGGGGATCAAAGAGAATCACAGGAATGTTACTTTGAGGCTGTCAAAGAAAATGAAGGTGCACATGAGAGAAGATAAAGCCAGGAAAAAGATATCCCTTCACCACTCAAATAAACCAGTTAATATGGTTTAGTTGGATATGAGAGAAGAAGATGTTGTCCCAAGACCAGAAGCAGATGGTGAGTTAGAAGATCTTATGTTGGGGGAAGAACCCGGTCAATTTACCAAAATTGGTAAGACCATCAACTCCAATATTAAGGCTGGGTTGATTGAATTTCTGAAGAACAACAAGAATGTCTTCGCATGGAAACCATCCCTGAGGGTGCTTACTCATGGATGTTGCTACTTGTGTTCCACCTTACTCATGGATGTTGCTACTTGTGTTCCACCTTCTCTCATGTGTGTTTGCATTGTGGCAACAACTAGTAGATTTTATTATGTGCGATCAGTTGAGTCAAATAATAAATTTCTATTACCTTCACGAGACACTGGTCAAATTTTTGAATTCCCACAAAAACCTTAAGTTGCAACAATTCAGTTTTATCAACACTTCATACAAAAAATTGTTGGTCTTTAACACCTGCCTCCAATCGGATGCGAAACATTGACAATTAAAACAATGGACTACATCAAATAACATATGTACAAATGCAAGGAATAACAACAACGATATAAAAAAGTAAAACACATAATTATTTCATCTTGATATATTTCTTTTGATTTTTTTTTAATTTTCTCCTTTATTCTTTAAATGTTTTCTAATTATTATTATTTTTATTTTTTTGGGGATTTATATTTTGGGATTTTATGGGACTAACACCAAGGTGTTAGTCTTTCTATTATTATTTACCTTGGTGTTAGTCTTTTGTTCTCTTTTACTTTTCTTATTTTATTTGTTACATATTTATTTGTGGTGCAAAACAACTACCCGAGCTTAACCTTACATAACTAAAAAAGAACCCTCTGTGCCGAGATCTCAAAAGCATGAGACCAAATAAAAAGGAAAATATCATGAAGTCAAAAGGGTAAACGGACTAGCACATACTATAAACCCTAAACATATATCACTGGAGCCTACATATGAACTTAACCAAAATGCAAGGTAATTTTCTTCCTAGTTAACCTTGCATGAGATATTGGTTAATAATTACGAATAATGAAATGGAAGGAAACGTACTATTGAAGATCTGGTGTTTCACGACAGAATGTTAGAATGACTAGTTAGGGATGCCTGTGTTTTGGGCAAAAGACCTTGTGTATTGCTTTCTTCATCTTTTTATTCTTTTTCCCTCTCTTATTTCTGATTTTTTTTTTTTAAGAATCGTTGAAGTGATTCAATGGGTTCAAGATAGGAGAAGAACGTTGGCTTTTTGACCCTTATGACCCTTAATAAGTAATTAATTACCAATTTGTCCTTCATTTGAAACTAATTCGAAAATTTAACCCCCCTAAAAAACATAACACCAATCTGCCCCTGTTTGACCGTTAACCATGAAGCCTACCCGGGTACACTCCTTCTTACCCGGGTATTTTTTGAAATTTTTTATCTACCCAGGTAGGTAGGGTGTACCCGGGTATAGTTCTTGAATCTGAGAATTTGTTTGAGTGACATTCACAGTTACTAGTTGATTGTCTCGATTCATTGGTTTCCCACATATGCATCTTTTATTGCGCCCCCCATGAGTAAAAAACTCTTGGGATGTTGAACCAGAAAATAATAATATTTGTGAATTGAAAATCAAACGTCACTAATCACTTTGACTCATCAGTGGGATTTATCTTTAGTATAATAAAAAAATCTCATCAATGACAGAACCCTATGTAAGATAGCAAATTATATGGGAAAAAAAAGTGCAATCACCTAAATTTGATGTCCCAATGAAAAGTTACGGTCAATTTACTACGTCGAACTATTTAGCCTCGAGCAATCGGTTCAACTCTATCTTCAAAGGATTAAAAGACAATTGAGAAAATTATTTTAATCTATTATAAGCTATTTTTAATACAAAATAAATTAATCATTATATAGTAACTCACAGAACTATGTTCAATCACGTGTAGATTAATATTTCCACAGGATATAAATTTTACATTTTTTATGATTATTCATAACTTCTATTTTCGTTTTCGTATGCACGTGACTGGCTAAAAAACTAAATCAGATTCAATGTTACGCTTAATTAGTATTAAATGTTACTTTTAAATTAGTGCAGTTTTAACGCCAGCCATCAATCCTCAAGCATGTTCCCGAATTAAAAAGAAACGAATTCCAATATTAACGTTACATCTGCATAGAAGGGCAATTGTGGTTTTCGAGATGCATGCGCTGTTCAAAGTTTTCAGAAGCTTGATGCTGAATTAAATCGGTATCTAATTTCTTTCAAGTGAAATATCGTACACGGGTACACTCCTCCCTACCCGGGTAAATAATTCAAATAAATTCTCAGATTCAAGAACTATACCTGGGTACACCCCTACTTACCCGGGTAGATAAAAAATTTCAAAAATACCCGGGTAGGAAGGAGTGTACCCGGGTAGACTTCGTAGTCAACGGTCAAACATGGGCAGATTGGTGTTATGTTTTTGAGGGAGGTTAAATTTTCGAATTAGTTTCAAATGAAGGGCAAATTGGTAATTAATTATTTATTAAGGGTCATAAGAGTCATAAAGCCGAAGAACGTTGGTTTTTTTTTTTTAGGGTAAAAGTCACCCTTTTATGTTTATGTTTATTTACCATGCTTTGAAAAAATTAGTCTTTAACCTTTCAACTTTCCCTCCTATTTTCCATAGCTTATTTTGGCTAAACCCCCAAATCGTCTCTGAATTTTTTGACAGTGTGTGCAGACTCCATTTGTCTTCTTGCAAAGAGACATTGACCGAAGAAACCGTCAAATATTTGTGTTGGAAATGTCCCTTTCATTTTTTGTTTTTTATTTTCTCTCTCGTTTTTCATTATTTTTAGTTTTTAGTTTTTTTGGAATGATAAGAAAATGGTGTTTACACTATGAATGAGAGTTAGGTTTTGCTGCTTTTTGTATGCAAATCGCGTAAGTTTAAGCTAATGTGAATGAATTATATATTATATCATGTGTCTGGATCATTTTAGAACTGTATAAATTACACTCTCAATCTTGGTTGTTGACAATTCTTTCTAATGTAACTGACTCCCCAATCCCTTGGTGGTTTTAGTTCTTTACTTTATTCCAAGGTTCTAATGTAAACCTATTGGTTTATTCAATAATTGTGTTCTTTAATATGCAAGTTAAACGATAACAAGAACACATAAGGATCTTGAGAAATCATGTTTTCACATTTATTAAACAATGATGAGGACACTAACCTTTGTCCATGGTTGATGACAACAAATCTTCAATTAAGAACCCTTTCTGTGGAATGACTTTTGACAACAAATGGAATACCCTTTTGACAGCAAACTTTAGCTTGAAAACTCTTGATGTGGAATAATTTTTCTCAATCTCTTCACCCTTATATTCTAGGTCCCTCTTCTATTATTGATGGCAAAAACTCAAAACCTCTTAATGGGTAGAGATGAAGGGTTTTACCCTAATCTTTTTATAACTGCTTCCATCAAGCAAATTACCATATTGTCCCTTAACAACCTCCTACTAATCAGGCCACTAATAAACAAAATTATCTTTTAGCCCTTCTTATATTCAAATCACGTGAGCCACTTCTAACAGATATATCCAACATTCTCCCACTTGGCTCATGTGGTAAATGTTATTATGTGATTCGACAAATATAAGACTTAACGAGCATATTCGACTAAAGGTTACCATACATTGGCCTCATCATAAGTCATAATTAGAAATAGAGCCAATAAAAGTCATGGCCGTTCTACACTCTCACATATTAGCATAGTTTCTTCCATGTACTACCATATCAACTCTTTTTCCCAACATGATACTTTAAAGGGAAGGATACAATAATGCCTTTTATAAAGGCAAATTCTATTATTCAAAATATCATTCATTCATGCATGCAAACATAAGTTTGAAAATAGAAAATTTCATAAACTTACACATTATTGAATTCAAAGTGTCAATAAACAATAAATACTAATAGAACTTAACATTCGCTAGCAGACATTATGCCCATATTATACACATGACCAGTGAATGTCTTAGGCGGTAATCCCTTTGTTAGGGGATCATCTATCATAAGGTTGATGCTGATATGCTCTATTGACACTCTTTGTTTCTGAACTTCTTCTTTAACGGCAAAGTATTTCAACTCCATATGCTTAGCACCCTTGGAGTATCTTCTGTTCTTGGAAAAGAAGTATGCTGCAGAATTATCACAATAAATTTTCAACGGCCAATCAATATTGTCGACTATTCTAAGCCCTGAAATAAAGTTTCGTAGCCATTTAGCCTGAACCATGGCTTCAAAGCATGCCACAAATTCAGCTTCCATAGTGGATGCATCAATTACTGACTGTTTCGCACTCTTCCATGATATAGCTCCTCCAGCTAAAAGATACAAGCAACCAAAAGTGGACTTTCTTGTATCTATACATCCGGCATAGTCTGAATCTAAATATCCAATAACTTCAAGGTTACTAGATCTTTTGTAAGTAAGCATGTGATCTTTGGTTCCTTGCAGGTACCTCAGAACTTTCTTTGCAGCTTTCCAATGATCCATACCAGGATTACTATGATATCTTCCCAACATTCCAACTGCAAAGCTAATATCTGGTCTTGTACAAGTCTGAGCATACATTAAACTCCCAACAAGAGATGCATATGGAATTTCTTCCATTTCATTTCGTTCCAATCATTCTTAGGACATTGCCTGAGACTAAACTTGTCTCCTTTCTGAATTGGAACAGGCGATGATGAGCATTTTTCCATACTAAATCTCTCTAAAACTTTATTGATATATGTTTTCTGAGACATACCCAACAATCCTTGTGAGCTATCACGGTAAATTTCTATCCCAGTCACAAAGGCTGCCTCACCCATATCTTTCATTTCAAAGTTACTAGAGAGAAACTTCATGGTCTCATTCAAGAGTCCGAGATCATTAGTTACAAGCAAGATATCATCAAAATACAA